TAATGAAATAAATCTGCATCCTAACCCTAGGCAGCTTTGCAAACATCCTCAAAGCTGTCAATGTTATTTGCTTAGAAATGCCAGCATTTCTCCCAACAGTCTGTTACAGTGCAATACAGCTAACTGATTTGCAGGATTATCTGCCTACCACCAAGAAGTATCTAGTACCCCGGTGGCAATAATACCATATCAGGGACTCAGTGTTGGTCTCTGCTGTTGGACATCCATCGTTGACCAGATCAGCTTTGGCAAGAGGAACTATACCACAGAGCCTGCGCACAGACTCCATCCCTACCATCATGGCCACCTTTCTCATGACTCCGTTGAGCTCTGGGGAAAGAGGCTGACAGGCACGCACAGTTTTTTGTTGTTTGTTTTTATATTTATTTATTTAGGTTGCGCCAGGTCTTAGTTGTGGCATGCAGCATCTTTTTTTAGTTGCGGTATGTGGACTTCTTAGTTGCGCCATGCATGTGGGATCTAGTTCCCCGACCAGGGATGGATCCGGGGTACCCCCCGCATTGGGAGCACGGAGTCTTACCCACTGAACCACCAGAGAAGTCACAGGAATGCACAGTTTGGATCATTGTGTCCATTTATTTTTTGAAAGCCTCTTCTAGAATGAGTGCCCTCTGGTGGGCATTCATAGGAAACACAAATATTTTCACCATTCCAAGACATTCATCTACATACCAACATCCCAGGCCTTCTTGTCCCCAGTCTTCCACTCTCATACTTTCCAAGGCTTTGGCCAACCAGGAAGGGGCCTGGACATGCAGTACCTAGAGATCAGTCTTCCAGGACACTGAGCACAGCAGAAAAGGGAAAAGAATGAATGGAGAGGGGGGCAGGGAAGACAAGGAAAATAAGTAGAAGAAAAAAAAAAAAGAGGTGCTCTAAGAAAACAATGAGGCCTGAAAACCTGGCACAGTGCTATGAAATAGGGTGTCTCCATGAGGGCAACCTCAAAGGTTTTACTGTGTGTTTTTCCTTTGGATTATAATGACAGTTATATTTAGCATTCAGTTTTAAGTTTTTCTCCTCTGACTCTATAATTTTCTTTAGTTAATCCCAACAGATCTGAAAAGCCACATATACCCCTACAAATGAATAGAGGTGGTGGTTTTTTTTTATTGAGGTATAGTTGATTTACAATTTTATATTAGTTTCAGGTGTACAGCATAGCAATTCAATATTTTTATAGATTATACTCCATTTAAAGTTATTACAAAATAATGGCTATATTTCCCTGTGTTGTACAATATATCCATGTTGTTTATTTATTTTATACATAGTAGATTTTATCTCTTAATCCTATACCACTTTTTTTTTTTTACTCTTTGGCCACACTGCACAGCATGAGGGATCTTAGTTCCCCCAACCAGGGACAAACCCACACCCCCTGCAGTGGAAGCAAGGAGTCTTAACCACTGGACCGCCAGAGAAGTCCTTCCCATACCTCTATCTTGCCCCTCCCCCTCTTCTCCCCACTCATAATCACTAGCTTGTTCTTTATATCTGTGAGTCTGTTTCTGCTTTGTTATATACGTTTGTTTGTGCTAGTTTTTAGATTCCACGTATAAGTGATAACAGAGAGTATTTGTGTTTCTCTGTCTGACTGATTTCACTAAGCATAACACCCTCTAAGTCCATCCACATGGTTGCAAATGGCAGAATTTCATTTTTTTATGGCTAAGTGGTATTCCATTGTATATATACACACATATCTTCTGTATTCATCTGTTGGACATGTAGGTTGCTTCTATATCTTGGCTATTGTAAATAATGCTGCTATGAATATTGGGGTGTATGTATCTTTTGTTTTCTTCAGATATATACCCAGGACTAGAACTGCTGGGTCGTATGATTGTTCTATTTTTAGTTTTTTAAGGAACCTCCATATCGTTTTCCGCAGTGGCTGTGCCAATTTATATTCCCAACAACAGTGTATGAGGGTTCCCTTTTCTCCACATCCTTGCCAACACTTGTTATTTGTGGCCTTTTTGAGGACAGCCATTCTGACAGGTGTGAGATGATATCTCATTGTGGTTTTGATTTGCAGTTCTCTAATAATTAGTGATGTTGAGTATCTTTTCATGTGCCTGTTGGCCATCTGTTCATCTTCTTTGGAAAAATGTCTATTCAGGTCTTCTGCCCATTTTTTAATCGGGGTGTTCAGAGATGGTATTTTGAACATTACTAATGTGCTTTACTTATTTTGCTATTTCAGAGGAAGGGAGGAGATGGTATTATTGGGAAGGCAACCAAGCGTGTCAATTTAATTTATGTATTTCTAATTTATATCTTTTACGGTATTTCTTTTTTTCATAGCCCTGTGAGCCCCACCACCTTAAATCCTTTTTAGAGCAAAGATTTAATTAAATTGTACTGAATTAAATTAATCTCCTCCCCAACAATTTTAAGCCATCTATAAATGCAATTTTGCTATATAACACTGCATTATATAGATGTAACTAAGTTGGCTTATTTCCAATTGTTTTGCTATTGTAAAAGTAGGATAATAAAAATAGTATGTTATCTTTTTTTTTTTTTTTTTTTTTTTTTAGTACGCGGGCCTCTCACTGCTGTGGCCTCTCCCGTTGCGGAGCACAGGCTCCGGACGCGCAGGCTCAGCGGCCGTGGCTCAGGGGCCCAGCCGCTCCGCGGCATGTGGGATCCTTCCGGACCGGGGCACGAACCCGTGTCCCCTGCATCGGCAGGCGGACTCTCAACCACTGCGCCACCAGGGAAGCCCCAGTATGTTATCTTAATTGTATTATGGATTGGGAGTGGGGGGCGGGGGTATTGGAATTGCCTTCGTTTAATAAAATAGTTTGGTAAATTGCTAAGGAAGAGAGTCAGATCCAAAGGGATGCAGGCTAGAGCCAGAGCAATAAAAGAGGTAGCTAAACTGGAACATGGTCTTTTGGCAAATGACAAGAACACAAGGGGGCTGGTGGAAATTTGGCATGCCTCCAAAGCCTCATTTTGGAACTGGCACAACTGTCACTTCCACACGTATACCATTGGCCAGATTAAGTCATGAGGCCAAGCACGAACTCAGTGGGGTGGGGAAGATTACTCCCACCTACAGAGAAGCATGGCAGGAACAGAGAGGGAAGAAAGAATAGGACACAAATACAATCTACTAGTGAAAAGCCCCGAGTGATGGGGGTGACTAAGGCACCCTTAAGAAGAAATATGCCCAATATTCAATTTGATGTTGTTGGCATTTCTGTGTGGTAAACTCCCCTTGTTTGCCTGTATTTGCCACAGTCTGCTATGTGCACAAATAGCTGATGGGAGTGGCATTTGTAAAAATTAAGAAAAAGATCTGAGTGTTAACTCTGGGTAAGCATTGCGTAGAACAACAGCACAACAGGTTTAAGACATCTAGTTGATCCCTATGCTGAAGGAATCTAGCAGAAACAGAGAACCAGAGCTGACCATAAGAAGACAAGCCCTCTGGGAATGTGCAGAAATCTTGGGGAGGACATTGATCTTTCCATAATTCATGAAACTGAGATTTTAAGCAGTCCTATTTAGATCTTATAGAGCAGGGTATCTCCCTGGAATCAAATCTCAGAAGTGTAATTACTGATCAAAGGGTATGAACTTTTTTCAGGCTCTTGATGAGTAACGTTGAATTGATTCATGATGTTAAGTTCAAATAGATACTCAGGACTTTTCCAATTTAAATTGTCAACCATATTAAATACCGAAAAAAGAAAAAGAAAAAGAAAATATAGAACAAGCTTTGAAAATAAGAAAAAAATATACAAGCAGATGCAGTTACTGAATTAAAACGCTCACTGAAAATAACTATGTTCTGAGCGATTTTATGTTTAAATTTGAAATTCTCTGATTCAGTGTTAATTCCTTAAAGCTTCACAGTTAAACCTGACCTTCAGTCCCAGGGAACCCAGGATGGCTGGTAATCCTACTATGTGGGGACGGGGGCCATCTGTCCCAGACCTGAACTTGGAGAAGGATGAATGTGTCCTCCTTAGAGTTACTTAATGTGTTTGGTTGAGAAGCAGAACCTGAGAGAGTCTCTTGTTTAAGTGGTTTATTGAGGATGTGTTCTCAGGTGAGGGGGAGGGAGGGAAGCAGGGTAAAGCAGAGGGAGACCCCACTAAGCAAGAATGTGGTGTTCAGTGAAGACTCACTTCAACCTGATCCCACGAGGAGCTCCAGAATAGGAACTGCACCTCCTTGAGGTGAGGGATCCGTCTTCTGTACCTCCACACAAGCGAGATAGCAATTCTTTTCTTGATCAGATCTCAAAATTAAAGTGCATCAGAATTACCTGGAGGACTTCTTAAAACAGACTGCTGGGCCAACTCCCTGTTTCTGATTCAGTAGGTCTGAGGTAGGGACTAGAGAATTTGTATTTCTAACAAGTTCCCAGGTACCGGGGATGCTGCCGGTCTAGGGACCACACTTTGAGAACTACTGCTCTAGATAAGAGGACAGCTGTGAGGCTTTAACAGCCAATACCCACAGCATCCGGGAAAGGAGATCTGAGCGCCATCTACTCCAGGTATACTAACTTGGCATCTTCCTCATGAAGGCACAACACACCAGGGCTAGAAGATTGGACCACAAGCTGAGGCTGGGTAGATTACATTTTTAGGTGTGTCTAGACTCATGACATCCTATTATTTTCCTGTTGTCATCCCGCATCTCCAGCCAAGGCATTGTTGAAATATTCCGTTCACCTCTGCCTTGCTATTGGACTTCAAGGGAAGGGTCTGGCAGGTACATGAGGCTTTAAAGAGGAAACAGCTGCACCTCTCTAGGCAAGTACAGTGGAGTCAGTTGCAATGAGTGGAAAGTCCTCAAAGGGGAAACACATATTTGGGGGCAAGACTCAAGTAGACCACCTTGGAAGTTTTTGATGTCTGTTTTTAAAATTAAAGGAAGATGGCTTTGGAAGGCAACCTTTAATTTCGTAAGTCCCACCAGAGCTCGTAACAAACAGCCCCCACCCCTGGGGATCACCACCAGCTGAAGCTGAAGGTATAGAAGTAGTCGGAGACCTTGGCTGGTAATGGACTGTTGTGTGAATAGTGTACCTGGTACCCTTGGGCCTTAATGTCCATGTTCATGCAGTCCAGGAGGTCCCTGATATCCAGGGCTGCCTTCCAAGGCCCGAATTTGACCACTGACCTCTTGTCCGCCTCCAGGGAGCGCAGGGCATCCACGCAGTTCGCATCATCCTTTTCGTTTTGTACCAGGCACACCAGAACTCTAGAGCAGCGCACCGCCACGGCCTCAGCACGCGCCAGGCGCACCATCAGCTCCAGGTTCTCACTGTAGCCTGGCACCTGCAGCAAAAACTGCTTCCGTGCTACCTGCTCACCAAAGATCTGTGGCATGTCCTCCAAGAGTTTGATTAAGGGCTTGATTTCGTAGAACTGAGCCTCACGGTACACCTCGGGGATGTGCCGTGTGGGCAGCTGCCCACTGCGCAGATACTCCAGGATGGGTCCAAAATAGGTGCCGCAGCGATCGATGAAGAAGCGTCCCTCCACATCCAGGCAGGCCTTGGCGGAGCTGGAGAACATCTCTGCCAGCTTTGAGCCTGGGAGTTTTCTCAGGGTGCCCAAGGTGGTGGTATAGAACTCACCCCCAACGTTCAGCTCCACTACGGGAGATTCCTGGGGGCACAAGAGGCAGAGTGAACCCACAGCGCCATCTCCAGGGAGCTCATGATTTATTCTCATCCAAAGAACAATACCGTACAGAATTTAGGGGAGCCCTAATGATTGGCTTCAGCTTATTGGAATGTCCATCTTACCGAAGGGGGTTATATTTATGCTGTACAGCTACAGAGAGTAGGCATTTTAAGGAAGAAAAATATTTTAGTTTGATATAAGGATACCCATTCAAGCATTTGAATTTTCTCATTTAGGTCACAGAATATTAGTGGAAGCAAGTCACACGGACAATACCTCTAAAGCGTGTGGCCTGTAGCAAGGCTTTTTCCCTCCCTAGGCCTCAGTTTCCTTGTTTATAAAGTGAGGATATGGGGACTTCCCTGGTGGTCCAGTGGTTAGGACTCTGCGCTTCCACCACAGGGGACACCGGTTCAATCCCTGGTTGGGGAACTAAGATCCCGCCTGCCATGTGGCACGGCCAAAAAATAAATAAATAAAATATAATGAGGATATGGAGCTATTGTGAAGTCAAGAGTTCCTGACAGGGATGCTTAGATATAAGATACAGTAAAAAAAAAAAAAGTGGGTGGGGGGAGGTTGGGGGGTGCAAAACATTTTCATCCTTTCAGAAAGGCTAAAGAAATCACACATGTATTCATTCAGGAATCATTTCTTTGGTACTTACTGTATGTCCACATCCGTGCTGGAAGTGGGGATAAAAATTCTTATTTCATATAGAGCAGAAGTTCTGATTAGCAGTTGGCATGACTTTGATTAACAAATGTAATTTGTTTGATGGGTATTTTTTCAAAATATGGGCCCATGGGATTAAATAACAAGAATATCCTTGGTGGTGACAAGGTTGGTAACACCAAATACAACAGGCATAAAACTGCCTCATAAATGGTAAAGTATGGTGCAAATGTAAGTTAGATTTAGCTGTTCATCAGAATTTTTAGAGGCCTCTTCTCTAGATCAGACCTTGGGCTGAGCACTAAGGACGTGGGTGAGACCCATGTGATATCTGCCTGGAGATGCCCACAGACGAGTGCAGAGAGGGACCTGGAAAGAGACTGAGGGTCGGGCTGCATCTGGGGAATGCTGCCACACAGACCTAACAAAAATACCATAATACTCTATAGCAATTATTACACAATTATACACCGGTTGTTATCCTTACAAACCCAGCTTCCTGAACAACTTTCATCTTTTAAAATTCACTCACTCATTCAATAAAACATGTATGTGCCTATTTTGTGCCAGGTAGCTGGGACACAGTGAGGAACAAGCAGGACACAGAACCTCCCCTCACAGTCTAGTAACTGTGCAAAGTGCTTTACATACACTCTGCAACTCAACCCTCACAGTAATCCTATGATGAATGTATTAAATCCCCATTTTCCAGATGAAGAAACTAAGGCTTAAGGAGGTGAAGTTCAAGTTGCTTAAGACCAACCAGCTACTAAGCGATAATGTCGGGATTTGAACTCAGGTCTGATTTACCACTTAGTCATTACATAAATTAATTTTCAACCTTCAGACACCTCCACTCTTCAATCCCTATTCATCCAACAGAATGTAGGGAGGACCTATTCCACCCAAGCCTCCTCTGAAGCAGATGGACAGGACAAGTTCCCTGCCCTTGAGGAGCTCATAGGGAGAAAGGGAAACAGATGGCTTAAATGTGTAGGTGCTGAAGGGGAAGACTCAGAGGTAGAAGGGATTGGCTCTTTTTGTAGATGTGTGTTGGAGGTTGTCAGGGAAGGTTTCCTAGGGGACGTGATGGCTGCTGCTGTGGAAAAGATCTACAGTATTAGGGGGAAGGCTGGATTTCCAAACTGGAGACTCCACTACAGGTCATTACAGGGCCAGGGATAGGGACAGGACTCAGGAATGTCCTTCAGTAAGATTTAGGTGTGACTTCCTTTTCAACTTGTCTGTGGGCTCTACCTCTAAGATTAAAGTACTGGAATTAAGAGAACTCAAGGCAGCCAAACTGCTGGGGAGAAATGAGTTGCCATGGCAACAGCTCCTACCAAGGAACAGTTCTGCTAGCTGGAATGGAGAAGGGAGAAAAGAGGTTGCAGTCTGACAGCAGCCAAACAATACAGCCCTGAGAAAAATAAGCCCAGAACCTGTGACGCCCTCTTTCTCCCATAAACCTCAAGGCTCCTTGGCAAGGCTGTTTGGTTAACCCTAAGGTGGCTCTGTAAAGCAGGCAGTTAAATGTGAATTTGCAGACTTTAACCCCTGAATGGATCGATGATGGACTCTCATCACTCCTGTACTACTGAGAGCTCTTAACGTCCCCACATTACAGGCGAGGAAAGCTCAGAAAGAGGGGTCACACAGCTAGGAGGTGAGGAAGTTGGAGCTGGGATCAAATCCTTATCAGTCTGACAGTATGGATGCCCTACCCCCACCCTCCCAACATCCAGTCGCACCGCTGCCAGTAATTAGCTATGTTCCTAGGGCATCGCACTTCCTTCTCTGGACCTAGGTTTAGTCATCTATCAAATAGTGAGGCAAAATCGATGAAGAGAACTCTAAGACTCTCCAGCTTTGAAAGTTTAATGAATCCAATCACTTCAAATGTTGTTTCTGAAGCTCATTTCCAGATGCTACACAAAATAGTCCCCTGCCCTGATATTCGCAGCCCCATTTCTTTATCAGCCAAGACCTGGGCCCTGTTCCCAAGCTTCCTAATAATGTCCCTTTTCCCTCCATGTTTTCTAAAAACTCCAAATCTCTTTGGAAATCCCAGACCTCCTACCTCATCCATAAATACTACTGTGTGTGTTTCTAGCAGATAAAGAGTTCTTTTCCATCCCTCCTCCAGACCACCTGCCCTTCCTCATGGCCCCTCTTCCCCACCTGTTCTACCAGTCACCCTGCTGAAGCATTCCTGGGTGGGCAAGCCTGACCCAGGCCCTGTGTGCACAGGCCGGGGAAATGTGGTCTTTAGGAGCCTCTGCTGGGTACCAGACTACTGCTGGCCACGAGGACACAGGGATGAATCAGACCCAGCTCTCATCCCACCAAACATTCATACATTTCCTTAGGTCACACTTAGTCTAGTCAGTGGAGGGACACCCCCATTCATATGTCTCCCAAGCCCAAGATCTCTCCCCACACCACAACTTTGACCTTTTCCCACTGTACCCTATCTCAGTTGTCTGAGCCAGAAACCTAGACTCTAATCTTGCACTCTGCTCCTATCCTCAACCTCCCCCCACACAGGTAATCAGTAACCAACTCCTGGCCATTCTAAATGGCTGGTCAGTTCCATGGCTCCCGGCTCCCTCGAATATCCTCCCCCAATCCAGTCTCTATTCTGAAACCAAAGCAGTTTCTCTGAAGCGGAAATCCAATCTGGTCACCACCTGCATTATACACTTCAGTGATCCCACATTTCTTTACAGGTTAACTCGAGACTCCTTAACAAGGTTTACAAGGTCCTTTGCAACCCTGGCAATCAAATACCAGAGCCAACTACTGCTCCCCAACCCCAACCCATTCAGAGCAGGCTGGGCCCCACTGCCCCCAGGACTTAACTCATTTAACACCCCCAGTCCCTTCAGTCAGCCCACTCATCCTTCAAGGTAATTCCTCTGGGAATTTTCTGGATGGGTTGTCTCCTTGTGATTTCAGAGGGCCATGTACTTCCCTTGTCATGGTAGTTACGTCTCTTGTAATTCTGTTCCTTCATCTATATCCCCCACTAGACTGGGAGGTTCCTAAGGGAGGACTACCCCAGATTCATCTTTATGTTACCAGTACCTACTACAGTGCTCAGCACACCAGGGATGCTCCGTAAGTGTCTGCTGAATTGAACCGCACTTACCCTCAGCACTGACTTACAGGAGCGCCTGGTATTCTGATAAAGGCCAATCTTGCCCTACTTGGCATCATGCACCGTGCTGGCTTCCTCCTTTGCCCGGTAATTAATTCAGACATTTATTGGGTACCTTGAGCGTTCCCTGCCTCTGAGCAGGTGACATTGTCAATAGCCAGGAACAATGAGGTTATCATCATCCTACTGAAAAGAGCCACAGTCGCCCCACTGCTGGATCTGCTTTCCATTCCTACAAGTCTTCAGGATGGCACGTAGCCGGGGAGAGGTTAAATGGTCTGATCCTTGAGTGCTCTGGGCTTTTTCTTGATCCTCCCCCCACCCAAGCCCTGGGAGGGAACGGGCAAGCAGGAGGACTCAGGACCCAGCCAGAGGTCAGGGACAGGCTAGAGAGGGTGGGTGTCCAGGGCGGTGGGTGAGGGAATGAATGGTACTCTGGCCAGCCCTCAGTTGGGTCTACTCCCACCGGCAGGAGGGGAGGGGCAGAGGAAGAGCAGTGGACTGGGGCAAGCCAGGGGACTGAGAGACGAGACGCAAAGAGAAGGAGGAGGAGACAAAGGCAGCCAAGCAGGAAAGAGGCCATGGAGGAGAGGCTGGGCTGAGCCGGAACCGGAACCGAGGCTGTGGCGCGGAAGGAGAGATCAAAGCGGCAGGAACTGACCAGGTGAAAAGAGAGCGCCCAGCCGCAGGCCGAGACGGGCGCGCCGGAAGCAGGGGAATTTAGACCCGCGGGGAGGGAAGGACTGGGGGCCCTGGAAGGAGTGAAAGAAGGGAGAGGCGCGGAGCCGGAGCCGGCCGGGTCTTCTGGCCCACCCCGGGCTTCGCACTCACCGTCCGCCGGCCCGCGGGGGTCACGGCCCGGCGCAGCGGCCGGGAATCGGGCGCCGAGGTCAGGCTCATCATCCCGGCCCGCAGGCGCTGGCGCTGCGCAGCCAGGCTGCCGCTCGCCGGCCCCGCACAGCCCGCCACGTGCGCGGTACTTCTGGCTGGCGGAAGTGCTCCTCGCTCCCGCCCCGGGGTGGGGGGAATCCGTAGCCAGGGTGTGGTTAGAACCCTGATTGGGCTGGAGTTGGCGGCCTTGCGGTGAAACCTTAGGCTAGTCACTGCCCCTCTGTTGACTGGTGTTGCGGGACAGCCAGATGGGAGAGACAGAGGGCGCTGACATTGACGACCTTGCGACTGTCTCCACTCACTACAGTCCTAGGGGTAAAAGATGAGCGACACCCATTTTACAGGTAAGAAGAGTGAGCCTCCAGGAGATAGGGCGGCCAGTTAGTTATTCACCTCAGATCAGCTGCTGAAAGTTCAGAGCATGACCAGTGATGAGAAGAGCTAGGTGCCTGTTGTGTGAGTTATTTTGCTTGTTAAAACATAATCCTTATGAAGGGGGGCATTACTCTTCTGTAGTATGGGCATATGCATAATGACCTTCCAAAGAGGACAGTGTGGAAAGGGGAGGGGGTGAAGAGTAACCGTACAGTGGAGAAAATGACAAACACAACTCCAGCCACAGGTGATCAAGATCAACGGCAGAAGTCATAAATCATGATGATCGTATGTATCCTTGATATGATGTGATGAAAATGGCACTTTGCCTCTGTGATCTTCCTCCCCAAAACCCATAACCCCAGTCTAATCATGGCAGTTCCTCAAAAAAAAAAACAAAAAAAACTAAAACTAAAAGTAGAACTATTATATGATCCAGCAAATCTACTTCTGGTTATATATGAAGAGAATTAAAAGCAGGACCTCCAAGACATATTTGCACACCTATTTCATGGCAGCATTATTCACAGTAGCCAAGAGGTGGAATATCCATCAATGGATGAATGCATAAGCAAAAGTGGGGTATATGTACAATGGAATGCTATTCAGCCTTAAAGAGGAAGGAAATCCTGTCACATGCTACAGCATGGATGAATCTTGAGGACATTAAGTAAAATAACCCAGTAACAAAAAGACAAATACTGCATGATTCCACTTATATGAGGTACCTAAAGTAGTCAAATTAATAGAAACAGGAAGTAGAAGAGTGGTTACCAGGGGCTGGGGGGAGAGGGAAAAGGGGAATTGTTTAATGGGTAGAGAGTTCCAGTTTTGCAAGTTGAAAAGGTTCTGGAGATCTGTTTCACAGCAATGTAAAAATATTTAACACTACTAAACTATACCCTTAAAAATGGTTAAGATATAAATTTCATCTTATGTGTTTTTTAACACAATTTTTTTTTTAACATCTTTATTGGGGTACAATTGCTTCACAATGGCGTGTCAGCTTCCGCTCCACAACAGAGTGAATCAGCCACACATACACATATGTTCCCACATCCCATCCCTCTCTGTCTCCCTCCCTCCCACCCTCCCCATCCCACCCCCCCAGACAGCCACAAAGAACCAAGCCGGTTTCCCTGTGCCATGCGGCTGCTTCCCACTGGCTATCTACCTTACGTTTGTTAGTATATATATGTCCATGTCTCTCTCTCGCCCTATCACAGCTCACCCTTCCCCCTCCCCATATCCTCAAGTCTGTTCTCCAGTAGGTCTGTGTCTTTATTCCTGTTTTACCCCTAGGTTCTTCATAACATTTTTTTCCCCTTAAATTCCATATATATGTGTTAGCATACGGTTTTTGTCTTTCTCTTTCTGACTTACTTCACTCTGTATGACAGACTCTAGGTCCATCCACCTCATTACAAATAGCTCAGTTTCGTTTCTTTTTATGGCTGAGTAATATTCCATTGTATATATGTGCCACATCTTCTTTATCCATTCATCCGACGATGGGCACTTAGGTTGTTTCCATCTCCGGGCTATTGTAAATAGAGCTGCTATGAACATTTTGGTACATGACTCTTTCTGAATTCTGGTTTCCTCAGGGTATATACCTAGTAGTGGGATTGCTGGGTCATATGGTAGTTCTATTTGTAGTTTTTTAAGGAACCTCCATACTGTTCTCCATAGTGGCTGAACCAATTCACATTCCCACCAGCAGTGCAAGAGTGTTCCCTATTCTCCACACCCTCTCCAGCATTTATTGTTTCTAGATTTTTTGATGATGGCCATTCTGACTGGTGTGAGATGATATCTCATTGTAGTTTTGATTTGCATTTCTCTAATGATTAATGATGTTGAGCATTCTTTCATGTGTTTGTTGGCAGTCTGTATATCTTCTTTGGAGAATTTTTTAAAAATATGACTTTTGGTCATAAACTAATGGTACAGAAACTTGGAAAAAATAATAACAATAATAACCAGACAATATCTGGTGAAAAAAAATAGAGCTTTGGAGTGTGACAACTGGGAATGGAACCCTAGGACTGTCATTTACCAGCTGTGTGATCATCCATCACTTCCCCTCTCAAAAGAGCCCAAATTTTCTCTTTGTAAAATATATGCAAATACTTTCTGGGTTGTTGTGAGAATTAAGAGGAAAAAAATCTATCGTGTTTCCCAAACTTCCCTGTTGCTAAGACTCTCTCAGAATGCTTGTTGAACATCATTCCAGAGCCCCACCTCCAGAGTACTGAAACCAAGTTACCAAGGAAGGGCCTGGGAACCTGCATATTTAACAAGCATCGTGTCATCTTGGAAATATGGGAAAAAATAGAATGATGCATTTACTGGCCTAGGAAGAATGGGGCTCAGTGAATGTCAGTGCGCATTCCCCCTGACTCTATGACAGCACCCTTCCAACATCATCCCATCCAGCCGTGGATAACTTTCCAATCTTTTCTTCCTCCCCATGTGGGTTGTCACTCCATTTAATGTTCACCCAAGAGTTACTGATACTGGCCTTAGCTAGGGGTTGGGGGCTGCGGACACAGGTGTGCAAGACATGTCTGTTCCAAAGATATAAAAACAAATAACTTTAATGAAAGAGTAAATGAGCATATGAAAATATGCTGGAAGTCCATGTTACTGGAAATCCTCCTACTAAAAAGCATCTCAAAATATTGAAAATATTGAATATATGTATGTCTATATGTCTGAGCTCTCAAGAAAGTCAAGGAACTTCTCTGAGGTGCTCTGAGATGTTTGAACACCAACTCCATGGACTTCCCTGGGATTATCTCCAACCCTGAGTAACCTAGAACTTTTATTTTCAGGGGAGAGAGAGTAGGAGACAAAGTCTGGGCCACTCACAGGGTTGGATGTCAGATCAGAGACTATAAAAGGGTAAATTGTTAAAAATCCACCACTCAAATGTGAATGCTGTGGAAACATCTGTCTCATTCCTCGGTTCTGGGTAGAGAAAAGTCTCCCCTGAAAAATTCTGGCAATAGGCTAGAGCTCAAATAGATCCAGGGTCCACATATTCATTTTTTTTCATGATCAACAAGAGCAACAACAACAAGGAACTTAATTTAAAATGGACCTGGATTGGTAATGCCCCAGAAGACTGACAAAGAAAATGAAAACCCTTCCTGGAGGTAAGTGCACAGTCAAACCAAGCCTCAAAGAATTTACACAGATAGCAGTCCAACAAATGCAAGCTCAGAATCAAAAGTCACACACCACAAAAGGACACAGGTACAGTGACCAAGAGTCAGTAGATCCACAAGCACCTCAACTACTGAGATTACTGGGTACAGAATATAAAATGTTTACTGTGCTTAAATAACTATAGAGAAGGGTGTATTTAAAACCTGAGTGAAGACCAAGAAGATATGATCAAAAATGACCAGGCAGGCTTCCCTGGTGGCGCAGTGGTTAAGAATCTGCCTGCCAGTGCAGGGGACACGGGTTTGAGCCCTGGTCCGGGAAGATCCCACATGCCGCGGAGCAACTAAGCCCGTGCGCCACAACTACTGAGCCTGCGCTCTAGAGCCCGCAAGCCACAACTACTGAGCCCGTGTGCCTAGAGTCTGTGCCCTGCAACAAGGGAAGCTACCACAATGAGAAGCCCACACACTGCAACAAAGAGTAGCCCTTGCTCGCCATAACTAGAGAAAGCCCATGCACAGCAACAAAGACCCAATGCAGCCAAAAATAAGTAAATAAAAATATTTTTTAAATGACCAGGCAGATTTGAAAAAAGCCAAATAGAACTTCTAGAAATGAAAAATAAAATAATTGAAAAGTTACTGAAACTTACTAGGGGTTGAGAAAATGCAATCAAAGGGAGCAATGTTACACTATTTTTCATCCATCATTTTGGCAAACATTGAGAGGAATAACAATGTGCCAGAGTGGGTAAGGATGTAAGAAAAGAACTCCTCAAACTTCACTGATTGGAATGTGAACTGCTGTGATCTCTTTTGGAAAGCAATACGGCCATAGCTACTAAAATTTAGAAAAAAATACAGATATCATTTGACCCAATATTCCCACTTCTGAGAATCTATCGAATAGAACTAAAAGCACTTCTCTGAAAGGATATGTGAACAAATATGTGTATTACTGTTTTGTTTGTGGTGGCAAAAATTAGAAATGTAGAGGTATGGTTGAATAAACCATGGTTTGTCCATGCCGTGGAATTCTATGCAGCTATTTAAAAGAGTGAGGTATTCACCTGCCGATGCAGGGGACGCTGGTTCGTGCCCTGGTCTGGGTAGATCCCACATGCCGCGGAGCGGCTGGGCCCGTGAGCCATGGCCGCTGAGCCTGCGCGTCCGGAGCTCCACAACGGGAGAGGCCACAACAGTGAGAGGCCCGCGTACCACAAAAAAAAAAAAAAAAAAAAGAGTGAGGTAGATCTACATCTGTTCACTCATCCATGATTTGTTAAGCAATTAAAAATAAATATCAGAGCAGTGTATACTACGGAAATTCAGTAAAGACATAAACATAAACCTCATATAAATTTATATCTGTTTATGTGAGCGTATACTCAGGAAAGTGTAGAATGATACACAGTGGGTGTTACCATTGGTTATTCAGTAGTAACGGGATAGAAATGAAGAGGG